AAGGGCACATGTGCAGAACATAAGCCTTCTACCCTGGAAAATCCCGCAACTCTACCCTCCACGGGAGAGCTTGTCTTCATGCCCAGCCTTCAACCCTCTGGCTCCTCCTAGTCCTAACAAGGCAAGAAATCGGGGAGCACGTCAGAAATAGGTTTTTTTTTGGGGGGGTCACACCTGGCAATGCTCAGGGGTTACTCGTAGCTTTGCACTCAGGAATTACCCATGGCGGTGCTCAGGGGACATATGGGATGCTGAGAATCGAATCTGGGTCGGCCGTGTGCAAAGCAAACACCCTACCTGCTGTGCTATCACTCCAGCCCCAGACATAGTTCTTTCATATATCAGGAAGTTATAACTTTATCATTTATAACTTTATAACCCCTTATCCCTGAGGTAAAAACCAATATACAGGGAGAGAAGTAGTTTTCTCCCCAACAAAGAATCTGCTTTCCGTTTTCTTTTCTTCTTTTTTTTTTTTTTTTTTTTTTTTTTTTGCTTTTTGGGTCATACTCGGCGATGCACAGGGGTCACTCCTGGCTCTGCACTCAGGAGTCACTCCTGGCGGTGCTCAGGGGACCATATGGGATGCTGGGAATCAAACCTGGGTTGGTCTCATGCAAGGCAAACGCCAGCACCTGCTGTGCTATCTCTCCAGCCCCTGCTTTCCATTTTCTGAGCAATAGTTTGTCTAACGTTCTTATACACCAAAGCTTTGACCTCACCAAACTTGAGGAAAGGCTACCTCATTTTAGGTTCCTCTGAAATTGGCCACATCCCCCTACTCTTCTCATTTGGTCCAAGTCTCAGGGATTTTGTCCCTAAATCAATATCCTGCTTTGGGGGCCTTCACTGCCTAGACAGGACCCACTATTTATGACAATGTCACTCTCTTTTTGAAACAATATTTCTTTCTTCTCTAATTTAGAAATTAATAGATTCAGGGCTGGGGCAATAGTACAGTGGATGAATCTCTTGCCTTGCACGCAGTGGACCTGGATTCAGTCCTGGCTCACATATCGTTCCCTGAGACCTGGCAGGAGTGATCATTGAGTACAGAGCCAGGAGTACGCCCTGAGCTCTACTGGGCGAGACCCTGAAAAATAATTAATTGATTCTAGACACTCTTCCATTTTCTTTCACATCCAGCAGTGCTTAGAGCTTACTCCTGCTTCTGTGCTCAGGGATCACTCCTGGTTGGCTTGGGGGACCATCTGGGGTACCGGGATTTGAACCCAGGTCAGCCACGTGCAAGGCAAACATCCTCCCCACTGTACTATCAGTTTGGCCCCTCTTCTATTTTCTTTTCTTTTAAATTTTTTTATATTTTAAGTTTTTTTAATGAATCAGATGAGATAGAGTTACAGACTTGCACTCTTTCGTGATTATCTTTCAGTCAGACAATGATTAAGTACCCATCCCTCCACTAGTGCCCATTCTTCACCACCAATGTTCCCGCTATCCCTCCCACCACCCTCACTCCATCCTTCCCCCGCTCCCTGGCCCCCACCTTTGTGGCAGGCACAGTCTTTACTCTCTTTCTCCTTTGGGGTATTATGTTTTGCAATACAGGTACAAAGTCGCCATCATGTTTGATCCATAGTCTACTTTTAGCACACATCTCCCATTTTGAGTGAGCCCTCCAAGGATCATTTACTTAGTGGTCCCTTCTCTACCCCAGCTGCCTTTCCCCCCAGCATATGAGACTGACTTCCAAGCCATGAAGCTATCCTCCTGACCCCTATCTACAGATAACTGGTTAAAGAAACTTCGGTACATCTACACTATGGAATACTATGCAGCCGTTAGAAAAAAATGAAATCATGAAATTTGCATATAAATAGATGGACATGGAGAGTATCATGCTAGGTGAAATGAGTCAGAGAGAGAGGGACAGACATAGAATGACTGCACTCATTTGTGGAATATAAAGTAGAGATAAGGGTCTTCTATTTTCTTAAGGAAAGATTAGAATTAGTTTTTGTCTTCAAAAATTAAACAAAGCCCTATTGCCCTGTTGCAGTGGGAGGGTATATGGAGTACTACATACTAAGTTCTTTTTTCCTCACAAGGCCGATTGTGCTATTATGACCAGTTTTGTTATGGCCAGGGCACAATGTAGGGGAGAGGGTCAGAGGTCAGAGATTCTAGTTCTTAACTGTCCCTACACAATTTCTTTTTCCAGGAAACACTGTCCAACTTTGCCTCTTAACTGCATGAATTTCAGTTATATCACTTTCTTCCTTATGCTGGACCCTCACTTAGCACTCTCTAGTTTTAATTTCTGAAAAGTCTCTGAAAATCCATACAGTCTTTGAAAATCATAGTTGTTTTATTTATTCAGTTTAACATTTCACTCAAAATACAAGTCGTAAGCTGGAAAGAGACCTCAAAGGAGTGGAGCAAATGCCTTGCATTTCAGTAGACCCCAGGCTCAAACACTGCATCTGCCTGGTCCCCAAATGCCATGGGATGTGGCACTAGTGACTCCCAGCACTGCCAGGCGCAAGCACTGAACCATCATGCCTGCTGGGGAAGCACCTTTAAGAAATAAATAAGGGGTGGAGAAGTGGTGCAGAGGGGAAGGCTCTTGCCTTGCATGCTGCCTACCCAGGTTCAATTCCTGGCACCCCATATTGTCTCCCAATCACTGCCAGGAATGATCTCTGAGTGCACAGCCAGGAATAAGCCCTAAACAGTGCCAATGTGGCCTCAAAGTCAAAAATTTTATGAACAAAAACACATGCCCTGCATATCAGAAAACAGAAAGTATATTTCCTCAGACTTATCTCAGTGATTCTGAATATTGACGCCCCATCCCCAGTTTAATAGGATTTGGGGTTGAGGCTTTGGAGACCTAATTTGGTTTAACTAGTTTTTGATGGTGGGACTCTTCTAGAAGGATTAATGTTCTTATATGAAGAGAACTTTACCTTTTTTATATCTCTTATCTTCAAACAATGTATTCACTTTTACTCAAGGTGTTCTATTACAATGTGCTCTGACACCCAGAAGGCAGACACTTCACACGTCACAGGTGCCAGAGTCCACCATAGCATGAACTGTTACATGACCTAATTGTGAAGCCCAACCTGTTATTTAGCAAATCTATTGATTTTTTATCGTGGTGGTAGTGCCATGCCTCAAATTCAAGGTCTCACACCTGTTACTGTCCTCCCATTGTTCACCGATTTTCTCCAGCGGGCCCAGTAACATCTCCATTGTGAGGTTGTTACTGTGTTTGGCATATCGAATACATCATGGGGAGCTTGCCAGGCTTTACCATGGGGGCGAGATACTCTCGGTAGTTTGCCAGGCTCTCTGAGAGGAACAGAGGAATTGAACTCAGGTAGGCCATATTGGCTGCGTGGAAGGCAAACGCCCTACCCACTGTGCTATCTGTCCAGCCCAAGGTATCACACAGGCAAGGCAAATGCTCTACTGCTGAGTTACTTCCCTAGTCCATACCTCCTTTTATTTAAAGCAAGCCATTATTTTGGTGACAAAATAAATGTTAAATTCAGTTATATTATGAGAATTTTTTTCCTATGGGTTTTGTTGCTCAACTTTCCATTAGTTACTGAATATGCCTGGGATGGAATGAAGAGTTAAGCAGTTCAACGTCAAGTATCTGAATCCACCCCGTCCCCTGTGAATCTTTCCCCTCTTCTTCAATGTTATGATGTAACTCATGTTTTATTCTTTATGGATCATCTCAGATAACATTCTGATAATGGGGGAAGTGGTGAAAGTGGCTAGATTGGGATATATTTTCAAGGTAGACTCCTCATGAGTCACAGATAGATTTTCTCTGGGAGGGAAAGATTTGCATTGATGACATCTTCATTTGGACTGAACGGCTGAATGGAAGCAGGAACCATCCACTGTGATGGAAATGACTGGGGTGAGGAGGAGCCAGTTGGGAAAAGGTTGGACCCTTCGAAAGATGTTTTAAATGAAAAGAGAAATCATAAACCAGTATCTAGCAGAGTGTTGGCACCATTGAATGAATGAATTTATAAATTAATGTAATCACTGTCATTGTCACTGTCTTCCTGTTGTTCATCGATTTGCTCAAGCGGGTCCAGTAACATATCCATTGTGAGACTTGTTGTTACTGTGTTTGGCATATCAAATACATCATGGGTAGCTTGCCAGGCTTTGTCATGCGGGCAGATACTCTCGGTAGCTTGCCGGGCTCTTTGAGAGGGGCAGAGGAATCGAACCCGGATCAGCCAAGTCAGCCGCGTGCATGTAATAAGCTGGATAAATAGATCAAGAAAAGTGAAGGAAGAAATAGAATAAATACTAAATTTAACAAAGCAGAAGAACATTTCTCAAAATGATATGATTAAAATCCCAGACTAGAACTTGGGAGAACTGGGTTCAGTATCAGATAAGATTTCAAATCTCAGATTCCTCCGCTCAGTTGTGTTTTTTTTGTTTCTGGGATCTCCAGTCTTTTCTCCTCTGCTAGGAAAGGAAAGGGACCACACGTTGGTTCTTCCCTGCCAACTTTCCCACAGTCTTGTCTTTGAAAATGTATGAAAATGTAGAATTCACCATCAGGTCAGGGGACGGCCAATAAGTGAACAGCCTCTGAGAGGCACCAGCCATGGCTTTCACTTCACACACTCTGGACATCACCAGAGGTACAGTAGCACAGGATTATCAGCAGTTTTGATACAGTCTCATCAAATCAGCTTCTCCAGAGAGTTCCACTATTTAAGGGCAAGCAGGAAATAGGATTAGTTTATTCTATGTGTTGGCTGGATTTGTGTTGACTAACCCACTAATCGCTCACACTAAGCCTTCAGGCTGGTTCCTGCTGATAATCACAAAGGGAATTCCAGCAATTTGTGGGAAGAAAATGTTAGAAAAATCACCTTCACAATAGTGAGAGACACAGCCCGAGATGAGAAAGCCTTCCCTGAGGACACTGTGAAATGGTCTTCCCCTCATGTTTTCAGACATTAACCACGTCTATACTGCCTCTTACACAGGACTGAGGGTACAGAGTCTGCCAACGTCAGTGCCTTCACCTGTTTCTCTTCCGGCAAAGACAACCCCATCCACAGTCCCCTGGACCAGCTCTCCACAAAGCCCTCCTGCGTCGCCCACCAGTGGCGCACCGAGCAGCTCTCTACCCCTTGTCACAGCATCCACCCAGACGTCGCCACACCTGAAGAATGTTTCTACAACGCTCAGAGAGGAGACCACCAGCCTGGTCACCCAGCAGGAGGTTACAAGCACAAACCCCTCTTCAACAAGTAGTGGTGTCCACTTAACAACATCACCCGTGGAACACAGTTCAGGTGCTCCAGAAGCAAATGTGACTACTCCGGGAGCTCAGTCCCCCTCTGAGACGCCCACACTCACCTCCCCTCAGGCTCCAGCCTCATCAGCCTCACCCCTGTCAACCACATCACCAGCGGTGTCTTCAACCTCCGTCAGCTCCAACCACAGCACCCCCGACAACAACACTCAGCCCACAGGTGGCCCCACGTCTCCAGAGCCCACAACACAGGAGCACAGCTCTGGGGCTACACCCTCCCCACAAATCCCTGCTGAGACCGTGCCCACTACGGAGACGACACCTCAGACCACCACGCCAGTTGTAGTGACCAGCCTGAGAGAAGAGATCCAGGTCACTACCACTTCCCCCGGGGTGATTATGCAGGAAGTGGAACATGCGCTGAGTTCTGGTGAGTCTTTTCTAGAACACTCTGGTTTGCTCAGCTCTCTGCTTCAGTTAAACCAACAGTTGATTTCAGTCAGGTTTGGGAGTGCGAGGCCTGAGTTGAATCACAAGAATTTTAACAACAGCGCACTTTATTTTTAGTCACTTAATAATTTCCACATGACATCTCACTAATTGTGGCCAATCGCCACTATTGTGATTTGACTTCACACAATGTCACAGGGGATATAAACAAATGGAACTCTAAACAGAAGGGTTAACGTTGTGACTTTTAGTCAGATGTCTAAGTTTGAATTCTGGCTCCTGACCTAGTTGTAGCTTCTCTTTGTATTTTTCTTTTTCCTCATATGTCTTAAAGGACACAGAATAATTTCTACAGACAGCATATGTTGTGTTTTTTTTTTTTGAAGATAGCATATGTTTGCTATGGGAATGAAACTTATAAAGAGCAAAAGTGCCAGGAAATGTCATTTTTGTTATTATTTTCTTTATGTATTAATGAGATGTTTGCATTTTGGAAACCAGTCAAAGAAAGTAGGGCCAGATAAGGGATGTAGAGACTGTATTTTTTCTTTAGAGTGCTAATATATTATATGTGCAATACATTTCACATAACGTGGCAGTTGTTTTTATTTTCCCAGGAACCCTATGAAGTTACTATTATTTTTAATCTTGATTTTGCTACTTTGAAAATTATGATGCAGAAAGAGTTAGGATTGTTTCTGAGGTCACATGCATCTGACACTGATGTGAAGACTCTAAACTTTAGGATCTCGGGCAGGAAATGGCTTTAGTGGGAATATTCAGTGTCTAGGCTGAGAAACAGTGAGGTGAGGGGAGCCAGAGTGAGTGGGAATAGAGGCTGGGCTTCCTTCCTTGGTGTTCTGCAATGGGTGTGTCCTCAGAGGGGACTTGGGGACTTTTAGGACAGAACCAGACATGTTGGGCAGGGGTCGAAAGAATGCCTGTAACTGAAGTGAAGTGAATATTTCTTAAACAGACTACAGTAAGCTCATAAGGAGGAGAGAGAGAGAGAGAAAGAGAAAGAGAGAGAGAAAGAGAGAGAGAGAGAGAGAGAGAGAGAGAGAGAATGATTCCACAGAGAGGAGCTCACAGATTAGTAAAGAGAAAAGTTCCCACCAAACCATTTTGTTTGTTTGTTTGTTTTTTGCTTTTTGGGTCACAGCCAGCGATGCTCAGGGGTTACTCCTGGTTCTGCACTCAGGAATTATTCCTGGTGGTGCTTGGGAGACCATATGGGATGCCAAGAATTGAACCCAGGTCGGCCGCTTACAAGACAAACGCCCTACCCGCTGTACTATTTGTCCAGCCCCCCCCCCCCCCCCATTATAAATTCTTATTTCAAAGATGCCGTACACCAGTGAGGTTTCCAACAAGAAAGATACAAAAACGAGAATAAAGGAAGCAATTCCAAAGGTCCAACTGGGGTTTAGCAGGGCACAGTGGGTCATAGTAGCAGTGCTGCTGCTGTGGCCCAGTTGGAGGGATTAGTGATTCAAACACGGGCAAAGAGAGCCCCAGAAGACAGGCTACCTTCAGAGACGCCCCCAATGTTCACCCTTGGTGAAGGGAATCAGTGCTGTTTGCTGATTTTCCTCCAAAGGCAATGACAGGAGACTCACTGGTGCTCACATGTACCAGTCTCCCAGAGGGTGGGCGAGAGATCAAAGGGAAGAGTGCAGAGTGCATCTGCAGACACCAAAGGAGGAACTCTGACAGACTCAGTTCCAGGGTGGATCCCTCCATGCACAGCACCCCTCCCCCACACACACCCATAAATGCATACACCATCTGTAGGAGTGCTGCTTTTTCATGTATGCTTCGTGTCTTTCTCCCTACCCCAGTTTCCGCCCAACAGTTTCTGTGTTTGCAGCATGCACGTAATGTCGCTTGCATGGTGCCTGGAACAGAGTGGGTGTTGCTTTTTTGACTCAGTGTCTTAAGGGTTGTTTCTGACAAAGGTGCCATCAGAGTGGATACCTCATTAGCACCCCATCTCTCCTCTCTTTCCTAACTCAGGCCCGTATCATGATTCTGTGGTATTGATCCCTCAGTTTTCTCTTCTCCCTGTCTTCTTCCCAGGATCTTCTAATCAGGGTAGATTAATATTCCTGAACACAAGTTCTGAGCTTTGTAATTCAAAAAACTCTACATTCTGACACAATCTACTATTTTCTACAAGTACCCTAGGGTCTTAGGATAGATTTTTCCAAGACATTCCTATTATAATTTTCTGGCTGTGTCTTAATCACCTCAAGTTTCAGCCAATGAAGTAAAAGAGCATAAAATTAGTGAGAAAGCTAGGTCAAGGACCTTTGCAGTGTGTGGAATATTGTACCCAGCAAGAACTGCAGAGTCAATGAATGAAGAGATGATTGAATGATGTGAATAGAGACATGGCAGGTTAAATGGACATCAGTGAGGTCAGCTAGTGTGCGTTTCATAGAACAAAGAGAACTTGCCCTTGTGGGGTCTATAAAATAGAAATATACTTACTGGAGTTTTTTTTCACAGTATCACGGTCATCCCATTGTTCATTGATTTGCTCGAACAGGCCCAGTAACGTCTCCTTTGTGAGATTTGTTGTTACTGTGTTTGGCATATCGAATACGTCACGGGGAGCTTGCCAGGCTCTGCCGTGTGAGCGAGATAGTCTCAGTAGCTTGCTGAGATCTCTGAGAGGGGCGGAGGAATCGAACTTGGGTCAGCCATGTTGGCTGTGTGCAAGGCAAACTCCCTACCCACTGTGCTATCGCTCCAGGAGTTTTTTTAATAAAAAAATATTATATCTGTTTGCTAGGATCATTTGTTAGTTTCTAATCTGAGAATGAACCTAAGTGGGTGTGAGGATCTTACAATCTGTTCATTTAAAAGATGAAAAAATTATGTCCCAAAGTTAGGAGTGCCTCACCCAAGGTCACAGGGCTCCATGGCTAAGTTGGGTCCAGTGCCCAGACTCTTTAAACCATCATCAAGACTTTTAGCACCAACATTGGTTCACTGCCCTTTATCAGCTCAACAGACCTGGCAGCACCCTGTAAGACTGTGCTCACAGGTTACTATTTTGGGCTGCTCTTGTTTAGAGTTTTTTTGTGTGTGCTGTCTTAATTGTGCATGAATAAGACCCCATTTTTGTTTGGTATTTTGAACTATTCTCTGGATTCACAAAGCATATTTCTACTAAGCCAAAGACTCATCCTTTCATAGTCATCACTGAATAATTCTAAAACAAGGCAAATGCTATAAATTAAATTTGCCAAAAGGGGTTATGGAAGGGCCCAGACACATGGAGGGGTTAGACACACGAGCTAGGTTGTAGGAGATGAAAGGAGTTTGCTTTGAGACAGTGAAGGGCAAGACTCAAGGACCTATGTACAGAGGTAAGGAAATAGTGACAGATACTTGGATTCAGAGCCCACTTGGATTCATCCACATTTACCCAAGTAAATGCCAAAACTGTTCTTATTGAGGTATTCTGTGTCCTCCCCGCTGCCAAGAGGATAATTTTTATGTCCAGTACAACTGGCCTATATGTCAGTTGGGGTTTGAGATGGGTGGTCATGTTTGGTTTGGGGTTTTTTTTGTTTTGTTTTGTTTTGTTTGATCTTTAAAGCACTGTCTTCACTCAAGCCCCAGGACATGGACACATGCCTCTCTGGGTCCATCTCTTGCCAGTCTGACAAACTGGCAGTTCCTGCTCACTGTTATCTGACTTCACCCTCTCATCTCCTTCTCCTGGAGCTCCCAAGGACTAATCCCACCCTACTTACTGCCTGACACACACGCTGTCCTCTCTATGCTTCTGAGATAACCCCATTCCATCTCCTGATTTAAAATGTTATCCTCATGTGGGTAGTTATGAGCTATAAAATTCTATTGCTCTTAAAAAAAAATTCTATTGCTCTTTTGAGTCATCAAATGAAAGTCAGTTATTTCTAGTCATCAGGTAGCTCAGTCTCCCCATGAGGAACTCGTGAGCATGTCTGTATTTATATACATTACTGATAAATTACTTTTTTTTTTCAGTAATGTCAACCCTCCTCTACTCCTCCATCAGTCTGTTTGTCTTTTTGCAATTCCTTCAGCCAAACACATTGTCTGTCCCCATCTGTCTCACGGACTTCAATGCCTTCTGTCAAATCCATGGGTTAGCTTTCCTTGGCTTCAGGAAAATATGCACAAGATATATTCAGATTCAGAGATCGTATACTCACAGAACTGTTACTAAAATATATTGTTGTAATATTTTATTTTATTGCTATTGTTGTTAAGCTTCTACAGTACCTAACTACAGTACCTACAAGCTTCAATGTAAGGAGAAATGTATAGGAGAAAGCATAGTATATGTAGAGTTTGGTGCTATCCACATTTTCCTGCCTCTACTAGGGGCTTTGGATCATATGCCCCATGGGACTACTATTTTCCTGCTATGATTTCTCTACTCACAATACCCTTGCCTGACAGATCCACTGGAAATCTGAAACAAAATTTGTCACTTCTTGACTACTTTTATATATGAGCTACTTCCCTTCAGAATTAGGGTGAAAGCCAGGTATGCCCCCTATTTGGTGCTCAGCAGACTTTGAGCCTACATAGCCCTCTTCCTTTCTCTTCTTCCACTTTCTCTCACAAACACACATGCAATTTGACTGTTTCTGGAACATACCCAGGACACTATTGCCTTGGGACCTTTGCACTGGCACTTCCGCTACCTAAAATAGTTTCCTGCTGAGTGTTTAATGTCTTGAGCCCATAAGTCAAGATTTTAGCTGCCATTTCCTCAGTGAGCCTTTATTCATGCTCCATATTGACAGTCGTAATCCCATCACCCTTGATCCCTTTACTTGCCTTTCCTTTTCTTTTGATCGCTTAGCACTTTCTGACATTTCATTAATTTGGTGAGTCAGTGCCTGTTTGATGCCACTAAATTTTCGACAAGAATCTTGCTTACAGTTAAATGTAGATTATTGCCCTGCCCCAAGA